TCAGTTTATAGCTAATTTAATAGTTTTATAGGTTATTATAATTATGTACATATATATTTGCCGATATTTTCACATCGACAAATTTCCTTGATAGATAAATTGTCTCTAACTATCCATCCATCTCTCTCTCTCTCTCTCTTTCTCGCATTTCGTTACTCTTCTTCTCTGATAAAAAGCCCTTTTTATATTAAAATCCATAATGAAAAATATTTTTTAATATGATAGGTATACATGAATATATATATATGTATGTATATATATGTATATGCTAGAAAAATAAAGTTAGTTCACTCAAGTATAGTATCGATCGAGAAACTCGACACTTTGTCATATCCCTCCGCGAAAACGAAAAGTAGTGCGTTTTTATTTCTTTCTTTGATATCACTATAATAACATTTCTTGAATAACTTCTATATATATGTACAATGTCATATATAATTTAATATATGATATAAAAGGAAAACAATGACATCGAATTATATACATACTATATATATATATATATATATATATATATATATATACATCATACGCACAATAGGTTAGAGTCGTAGGTCCATATTTATAAAAACTCAAGGACAATGAGGGCAATGGCGAATATGAATTTAGCAAATTTTGTATTTATATACATACCTTATTGAAAGGTCAAAAGGATTAAAAATTTTAACGTATATTAGATAAAAACGGTTCACATTATTTGGGTAGACAGAGAAATGCAAATCTATCTCTTATCTACGTAATAATGACAATAGATATATATATATATATATATATATATATATATATATATATATATAATATAAACGCTTTTATATATATATTCATATACTGGAAAATACAGAGACGATCGATCGTTCTTCCTTTCTTTAGTTAGGCGTCTCTTCATAAAGCGCGAATTTGTACTGTTATATCTTTAAGCGTCTTCTAATCCATGCAGAAACTCTCTATCGAAAATCGACAATTTTTAGAAATATACTTACCTAAACGATATTATTTTATGAGATATGTAATGTTATAATTAAAGAAAAGAATTGGAATCGGATACTAGAAAGACTCACCCGATACGAGTGAAACGTAATATCCTCTCCGTTGTTTCTCTCTTTCTCTCTCTCTCTCTCCCTCTCTTTCTCTCTCTGTATATATTTGTATATATACTCTTTTTCGCTAATTTTTTTTTCTTGTCGTTCGAAGAACAACAGCAAGTCTTTTATATGTTTATTTTTCTATTGAGATTCTAGTTTAATAGCACACACGAGATGGCCTCGAAGACGACGGCGACGGCGACAGCGACAGCAATAGCGACGGCGACGGCGACGACGAGGACGAGGATGGTACACAAAACTCGACGCAGAACACTTCCTCTTTAATGGCGCTAAACTACAAACTTTACCACCGGCTTGTCGCAGAAGACTGGCTGGCGTCCGGCTCGGGAGCATCTTGTTATTATTGAATTAGGCCCGTGGTCTGACATCAGACCATGTGGCGCCGACCAATCGGAGCATATCTTTTACTCGCGCATGCGTATTACGTATTTCGATGCCACTACGGCGCATTGACGTCGTTCTTCTCACCAAGTCGGCAGGACTAACTGTTGTTACTTCGAATCCTTACGTTGTACTTTATTGCTTTCTTCTTTCTAACATCATCAATTTTTATTCTATACAATTTTTCTTTTCTACAAATTCGAGATATTTAATTAATTAAATAATTAATTAATTAATCAATCAATCAATCGTTGATTTGATATAAATATCAATATTTTTAACCAAATTCTTATATATTACGTCCAAAAGGAGAACTTATGTCTTATTATATTCTTTATATTGAAATAGATATAATTTAATATTCTTTGTTTTGAAATAAATATAATCTTTGATATTACTCGATCGATATGTGTGTTCTAAAAAAGAAAAGAAAAAGAAAATGTTATTTTTTATCATTCAAAAGTACGTATTTATAGTATGTTTAAATATCAACGATAATACTTTCAATAGATCATTCGATCGTCGTATAATTTATTTTTTAATCTCTTATCTATTTTCTAATAAGATTCATCGAATGAATTCTGTGTTTTATACGAAGTTATCAAGCTATTCTTATTGTCAATTATGATTAATTTCGGTAAGGAAGACTTTTTTTAGTTCGAAAGTGATGATCATTGTTATATTAAATAAGAAACATTATATTCTTTATTATTATTCTTTTTTCGTGAATATGTAGCAACGAATTATCATTGCATAATATGTTCGAAAAAAGAGAGTTGTAAGTCAATGACATTATTTTCAATGTGTCAGGAACATCGTGCTGCCGTCTAACGGAATTATTTTCTATTAACGATGAAACGAATTACGGAAAAACGTTTACAATATCTCATATCAATATTTATGTTAATCGATTTTATATAATTGATCTATCAATCCAGTCTATCATTATTTCATTAGATATAAAGAAAAAAGCATGTATAAATATCGATTAATCTTATTTAATAATTTTCTATAAAGGAATGAGCTTATTTGAGGTTAAAGTACTTCGAATTTGATTAAAATGTTAAAATTGCTATCTATTTAAACAAAAAAAGAAATTTGAGCTTCATTATGTAAATATTTTTATTAATCGATTTTACATGTACGATCGATCTTTCATCAGATAACAAAAAATTTAAGAACATTTAATCTCATTTATATGTTGATAATGTTATGTAAAAATGCTTTTGATTATAAGATTAAATAACATTAGAAGTTAGAACACTCGGAATTTGATTAAAATTTAATCAAGAGATAATGATTTATTTATTTTAATGAATAATAGCTTAATATTCTATTGATATCACAATTTTATATCAAATAATTATAGGTTACATTCAATTTTGTATATTGTTAATTATTGTTGAGTGTTGTAATTTAAAATTAAAAAGAAAATATCATCTATCATTTATTCTTGATATTTTTTTTTATAACCAATCCAATTAATTTAAATCCATACTATATAACTTATTGAAGAAAATAATTTATTGAATGAAACTCCAAGAATTTATTGAATTATAAATTTTTTGTTTTCATTTTTCCAAAAGTTTATCAGACATTTCCTTCACCCCGATCACGTTATGTTTCAAATGTCTAAGTAAGATATTCTTATCTTTGCTTATAATATTTTCCAATGTAATAGCTGATCTAACATGATAATTAAAAAATACTTATTTCTTTTTTTTATTTGTTATTTCCATACAGATAACCTCTAGTTGGTTTTTATAATCTACTAAAAAATCTAAGTCGTGCGACGTAACGTCATATTATAAATAAGATTTCTTTTTTCTTCTCTCTTCCTCTATCTTTCTCTCTTTTTTTTTTCTCGTATATACTATTCGTTTATTCATTGTAAAAATTTTGTTCATTAAAGAAGATAGAAGTATATATTCCCATGAACGTTACTTCAAGGCATAACGAAACAAACAGCATAACCTCGCTCTTAACAAGACTTTTGTGTTACATCCAAAGCATCTTGCTTAACTTCATAAAGGCGATCTTACGAACTATACCATATTCGAATGACGATGGTACTATACAAACAGTCAAGTCAAACTTATTTCCGCTATCATCTGTTCGTATTACTTTTTTATATAAAATTTAACTCTTCCATCATGTAAATTATGCCTACGAAACTTCAAAATTGAAATTTTTTTCTTTAAAAATATTTTTAATAAACCTAATTACGTCAAAAGAATTCATTGCTGTTTCTTGGCGGCTATTATCTGTATACATTACTTTTTTACGTGAAATTATAATTTCGGTGTATTTTTGTTTATCATTAACCTTACTTACATGCTACGTCAGAAAAAAGTTAATTCATTTTTTATCTACAAAAATATTTTTGAATAGTTCTAAATAGTCGTAAGAGAATATCTTATTGTCAAAAATAAATAATTATCAGCAAAAAAAAAAAATAGAAACAAAAACAAAGGAATAAATAAATAATTAAATTTACCTAAAAGTATTATTTTTTCAAGATAACATAAAATATTTTATTAAATGATTTTCGTAAGCTTTTTTCTTTTCTTTCTTAGGAATATAATTTTGTTCATTATTTGAAATTATTTAAAAGCTGATAAAAAAACGATGGAATTATTTATTTCATTGTTAAGAAACTTCATAACATTTTACGTCTTACGAAGAACACTTGAATGTTTTATTCTTATTAATGTTTTATTCATTCATTCTCTCCTCTCTCTCTCTCTTCCTCCCTCTCTCTCTCTCTCTCTCTCTCTCTCTCTCTCTTCCTCCCTCTCTCTCTCTCTCTTTTAATTTGTTATCATAGAACTATGGTCATGATTAATTGTCGTGTCAAACGCGTGTTGAAAGTGCGTTTTTTATACTTTTAATCAGATGCAATGAATGTACATATATAATATCAATCGTGTAACGACCTATTGAAACAATGATTATGTTGTAATTACTCAATAATCACAAGAGAAAGTTATCTTTTTATATATCCAATTTTCATTCATAATTTCGGGAGATCGCTATTTCTTCTTTTTTTTTCATTTTGGAATAATAATATAGGCAATGAACAGTTTGAAATTAATATAAAAACTTGGTTATGCAATATATATTATGATTGGGATTACGTAAATTTTTATCGGATTTGTTCATTCTATTAAGTTCATTAATAACAGACATTTTCCTTTGTAGGATTTATTTCATAATATTTGTGTCATATAATAAAACTTATATCGTTGTTATAAAATATTTAATGATTAGATATACTATATTTTTCTAATAAAATTTGAATATTTTCAAATTATTGTTACTCGTTTTGTTTTCGTTCATGGTTTTTTTTTCTGAAATTTCTATGAAATATTTACTGATTAGATTGAAAATATTTTTCGAACTAAGAATTTTGAAATATATTGAAATTATTTTTATTTTATATATTATTATTAAATTATATTTATTTTATATATTAAGAAAATAATTTCCATACTCTTTTTTTCTTTTTTTCATTCACTCATTTCGTTTTTATTCATTTTTTCTTTTTTTTTTTAATGGCTTCGTTTGCTTCCTCGAGTCTTTGTTGTTCCAATTCCAAAGCTCTTTGTTTTCTTCGACAAGTCGGCGTTTTCGAGAACCATGCTACAATTAATGATATATAATGATATGCAATGAGCTAAAAGTACCGAAATACATAATCGATAAGAAATATATTTTTACATAAAAATGCGTCCTCTTCTTCACGATAAACAGGATTTTTGGTACTAATAGCATTAATTAGTTCTGCATGTGTTAATGGCTGTGTTCTTAATTGTACCATTCGTTTCGTCGTCATCACCTATAATATACTTTATTTCATTATTATACACATACGCATGCGCGCGCGCACACACACACACATACACATTTCTTTTTCGACATATATCAGACCAATTAAATAAATATTTTCAATTGAAAGTTATTTTATTACGTAAATACCTCATTAATGGCGGCTAATATTGTACCAATTGTAAATCCGTCACAGATTTTGGTCATTGCTGATATATCAAATTGTCTATTTATTCCAGGATACTATATTAAAAACAAAACAAAAAAATATATATATATATATATATATGAGGATGACGATGATGATGATAATGATGATGATAATGAAAATTATTTGAAAATTGTAGA